AAACGAAAAAGACAAGAACAGAGCAGTCTGCTGGCACTTCTGAAGCGAGGCCCCACCCTGTCCCTAGGACATAATGGTCCAATCCCCTGAGACGCCTCCAGAGACGAAGTCCAAAACGTGGCTCAAAACCCTCAGTCTCCTGGGCACTGGAAGAAGAGGACCTCGAAACCTAAGTCCAGCCCTCCATGAGCTCTCCAGCCTGCCATCCCATGCCCCCTGCCCCCTCAAGGCAAGCCAGGGCTGTGGATGCCACAAACATGACTGACGGGCAGCCTACCCTCTGTTTGCCAGGCCTGCCTGGGCCAGTGCTGTTCCCGGGACCCGAACCCTGTTCCCCAGCCTCCTTTCCCAGGCTCTTTTACTTCAACCCAACGTTTTCTTTCTGTTGTTATAAGGGCAATGTGCAAAGGGGTTATAGTTACGGAGATCAGGTACCAAGTACATTTCTTTTTGGACAATGTCACCCTTCTCTCCCAGTTTTTTCCTCCCGTCCCCATCCACAAGCTGTAGAGCTCATTTCCCACATACCATCTTAGTGAGCACCACTGTTGCATTTGTTCACCCTTTGTCTCCATTTCTGCGCCTCTTCCCTTACCCACCAAAGACAGATAAACAAGACAAAATGAAAAGAAAACAACAACATCAACAAAGAAAAAAACCTTGTTCCCGTATCCTAGAGTTCATTCTTATCAGTGTTACTTTGCATGATTGGATACACACAGGTCCTGCACCTGTGTGTTGTGGTAACCCTGGGTTTTTCTTTTCTTGATAACCCCCACTTCCAGTCCTGCCAGCTGCGTGGGCAGAATGCGGTCCACTGGGCCCGACCCTCAGCTGAAGAATGCCCTGCTCCTAATGATCTTTGAGCGTCTGGACTATACCACCTGCTTGGGGTGGTGACCTTTATAAACCCTGCCCCATGGCTGGTCGCTGCTCTGCTCTCCATCCTCCCAGGATGGGGCAGTCGCTGGCCAACCAAATAAAACTCCTTGTCACCTTAAACCGTGCACCGTGGATTTTCTCGACTCCAAAGTCGTAACAGTGTTTAACACGACTCTTGAAAGGGAGCCACAGCCTAGTTTCCCGACAACAGCTTGGCCAATTGGCCTAATGTATCTGCAGCTCCGAGCCTCAGGAAGCTAAGGGCGAGAGCGGCAGTCACCACCCACAGAAGGGAGACACACCGGCGTGCCTAGCTACGAGGTGACCCTGTGTGCCTAGGCTTTTTGTCTTCAATTACAACCCAGGAAGAAAGCCATGAACAAACCCACACACGCGTGACAGGGGGTGGCCCCTTGGAGTCTGCATGGCACAGGCTGGGCTACCACTCAGCCACGCTCAGCTCTGTGCCCCCGCGAGTCCACACTCAGCAGACACTGATGAGGCCCCCACTGCACCATCCCCGGCTCCAAAGTCGGGGGAGCCAGACATGAAGCCAGGAGTGAGCCTGCTCTCTCCTCCCGCCACCCGCACCTGGCAGCTCGCTAATGGCCTGTCTGAGCCTCAGGGATAGAGAGTGGCCCATGGAATCAGAACTTCAAGGTCAGGGTCAATGCAAAGATTTTCCTACAAAGCTGGCAGGAAATTGCTTTTCTAGTATTTCTCTGTAGAACCATCTTCCCTGAGCCAGCTTCTGAACGCCAGAGGCTTCAAACCCCTTCTCCCGTGGCTCTCCAGGCAGGCTCGGCTCAGGAAGATTAACCCAGACGCTGCTCACCATCCCCTCCCACTCTCCCACGGCTCTCGCCGGCAGCACGGCCTGCACTCCAGCTGCCACACCACGAGCGCCAGCCACCAGCGGAACTGTCCCCACGCGTACCCCTTCATCTCCCCATCTCTTCTCCCTTCTGTGGCCCCCCAGGTCACTCCTCAGAGCATCTGCTCACCCCTCCAAGTGCCCCTTCTCCCCCTAGGCAGTATGGCCATCCAGCCCCGGACAGAGCGGGACAGATGCCCTTGGCTATTCTAGTTTCCCCACTGCCCGCCAAAATGAAAGGCAAATGCATCCGTAATGACCAGCGTGCGCCGGATTATCGCCCTCCATCCAGACGAAGCGTCTGGCCATTATCCCTTCCTGCTGAGCTGAGAACACGGAAGAAAACGTAATTGAAACAAGGAGCTCCCAAGCAAGAGGGCGCAGCCAAGCGTTCCTCCACAGTGGGGAGCAGAGACAGCCTTCCCTCCGCTACGAGCGGGGGGCAGAAAGCCGGCCTCTCTCTGCAGAAGGCTTCCGCCAACCCTGAGACAAACTGCCAGATGGACAGCCCCCGGGGGCCCGGGGGACAGGAGCAGCACTCAGGATAGACAGGGGAAGCAGGCTTCCAGAAACTTCTCACTCTGGGTCTCCTGGCTCTTACCACATTCCCCAGCTGCAGACCACGCTGGGGACACTGACTGCTGAAGACCCATCCTCAGCTCCCCAGGGATCCTTTCCAAAGCCCCAATCACAGGAGACAGCCCTAAATGGGACCCCCCACCCACCCTGGCTGGGGGACCCTCTCGGAGCTGCTCCCCCAGCCATCTGTTGTGTTCTAGGGACCCACAGCCAGGAGCTGAGACAGCTAGGCTGGGTCCCCGGCTCAGCCCGACACTTCTCGAAGCTGTTCCCCAGCCTGTAAGTAGAGTTAGCCGGTAAGCCAGGCAGAGGCGCTGCCCAGCCCCAGGCAGGCCCCCTTCTGCTCCACAGCTGAGCTACAGTGTCCCCCACAGGCCTGGTGCCCCATGCTCGTTCTCAGCCTGGCCCTGTGGGAGCTGGCCTGTGCGGGCTTCCGATCACTGAAGGAGCATCCCTGAAGGAGGGGACTATGGAACCCCAACTTCCCCTTTTCCTATCCTGGCCACGAGGTGAGCAGTTCTGTTCCACCACGCACACCCACGACACACTGCTTCCCCAAAAGCAACAGTCAACTATTCACAGACTGAACCCCCCCACCCCCGTGTGGCTCCAAATAAGCCTTTCTTGTCAAGCCATCTGCCCCAGCGTCCACGGTCACAGAAGGCTGGGCGCTGGGCGCACGGCGTGAGGACTACACCGGCGCCCTTCGGCCGTCAGCGCTGAGTAAAGGCGATCCGCCATCCGTGAAGCAAAGCCATGGTGACCCCCAGCCAGCGCGAGGAGGGAAGCCGGGGAGGCCAGCCACCTGCCAGAGCCTCGCACAGACACCGCCCTGAGGGACGCAGCTCTGCAGCATGGGGGGGGGTGGTTCAGACAACAGACACCCCCCTTCTCTTTGGATCCTGCCTGGCAGGGACAGGGGCAGGATCTTGAGGAAAGAGAAGAATCCTAGCTCTCTGGGAAGGAGGAGACACACCCACAGGCCAGGCAGCGCAGGGCTCGAGGGCCAGTGTTAGGTTTGGGGTGTTTCTTGGTTTGGGGATTTTCCCCCACAAGCACGTATTACTTCTTCAATTTCTTTGGGCTAGGCATGGGAAGAAAGGGTCCCCCCAAGCGTGACTAACAGCAAGGCCAGGTTCTGAGCCCCCCCTGCTCCCCCCCCCCCCGCCTCCTCAGAGAAGGTTAGAGCCTGAAGACAGTGAGAAACTGCACTTGGTGGAAATTCCAGCCACCCCAGCCCCAGGCCCCCGGGGCGGGGAGGGGAGAGAGGGGGCGCAGGGCGGAGAGGACTGCTGCAGACCAACAGCTGGGCGAGTGGAGGTCAAGAATGTTCACAGCTGTAGGGCCATCTTCAGCCCCACCCCAGAGGGGGCAAGGGTGGGCTGCCAGGCCTGGGGGGGGGGAACTGCAGCAGTGTCCAGGGGAGAGGAGGGAAGGAACGGCCCCCCAGTCACCCTCCAACAGGAAGCTGGGCCAAGCTGGTATTTCAACCAGAAGCCAGGCTCCAGTCCCCGCCACACCTGCTCCCAGGCACAGAAAGGGCAGAAGCAGACGGCGGTGGGCTTGCTGCTGCCTGAACTGCCCACAGCACCTGAGCCTGCAGCTTGCCAGGCCTGAGCCAGGGCTGCCCACGCCCCTCACTTCTCACCTCCCTCTCACCGGGCAGCCACCTCCGTTCTACCTCACGAAGATCTCCCATTCCAGCTGCGGCCAGTCCTGTGCCACGTGAGCCAAGAAGCAGGGGTCTGGGATTCAGCCCCATGGACAAAAAGAAACTTCAACCTTACATAACTGCAACCCCCCTGTACGTTACTTTTATAATAACAGTATTAAAAAAAAAACTTCATGTAAGGCATATAAATACAAAAAAAACTGTATAAAAAAAATCCAAAGAAAAGAAACTTCAGCCAGTGACAGAGGCTCAAGCCTGTCATCCAAGCTACGCAGAAGGCTGAGATTTGAGGATCACAGTGCGAAGCCAGCCTGGGCAGGAAAGTCCAGTGAGACTCTCATCTCCAGTTACACACCAAAAAGCCAGAAGTGAAGCTGTGGCTAATGTGTTAGAACACTAACTTCCAGCAAAAATACTCAGGAACAGTACTGAGGCCATGAGTTCAAAATTCTCCGTTATAGAAATATCCAGCACTAGCTGGCACTGGTGGCTCATGCCTGTAATCCTCGATACTCAGGAGGCTGAGATCTGAGGATCATGGTTTGAAGCCAGCCAGGCAGAAAAGTCCTGGTGAGACTTATCTCAATGGTTAGTTGGAATTAACCCCCCCAAAAAAAAATAAAATCAGAAGTGGTGTGGTGGCTCAAGTGTTCAGAGTGCTAGGCTTGAGCACAAAGAGGCTCAGGGACAGCACCCAGTCCCTGAGTTCAAGGTCCACGACTGATCAAAAAAAAAAAAAAAAAGACAAGAGAAGAAAGAGAAAGAAAGAAAGATCCAGCCTAGAAAAAGAGGAAGGCTGTATCCAATGAGCCAACCAGGCCCCAACCTACAACTGACCACCAGGGGCTTAACCCAGTGAGTAAGGGGTTACGGACCGGTCTCTGCTTTATCCAGCTGCCTGGCCACTGTTTCTAAATCGATGGCTAGACCTGGCCCATGAGAGCCACACTAGATCCTGGCACCACCTCGCTTCCCCCAAGTGTCCCAACTCACTATGTGGATGGGGAAGTTCCCCGGTCTGGGCCTGGCATCCCTCCTCCAGCCCCTCAGGCTGGGCATTGGTGTTATTTCTGCAGTTTCAGTCTGATAACATGTGTGAGAAAGGCCAGCTGTGCTCCCTAGAGGCCTTTCCCCCAAAATAACTGCGGTCACTGGGTCAGAAGCCTAACCTCCAGGTAGAGCAAGAAAGGAAGGAGCACCTGGTGCACCCCAACATGTGCCCCTCTATCAGTATGAACACACACACGCACACACACTCAAGAAACAGGCTTGGCAAGGGTGGCAGGGCCAAGGTAGAGCTCTGGACCTCACCATCCATCCTTCATCACCCCACCCAACTCTCAGCAAGTCCTACTGCGCACCAGGTACCAGGAGCAAGGTCCCGGCCAACCCCTTGGGGACAGCTGTAACTCTAGGCTGCCTCAGCATACACTCACATACACACTCACTCACACGCACACACACCCCAGGTGTTATTTTCAGGGGCTGAGGCGCCAAGGGAAGTGAGAGGGCAGCGGAGCGCAGCGGGGTGGGGATGCTGAGACCTGCAGGCAGCTCCAACCTGTGGCCCCAGAGAGCGGGGGACACACAGACGGCCACGGCCAGCGGCGATATCGGACACGCGTGCACACACACACACACACACACACACACACACAGGCGGCCACGGCCAGCAGGGACGCTGGTTGAGAGGAGGGACAAAAATGGTCAGCCAGGGGCCCTGGGGCATCGCGTCCTCCCCACTGGGCGCTCTCACCGACTAGGCTGGGTGGGCTCTCCAAACCGCAGGTCCAGCCTGTGGTGGGAGGGAGCTGGGGGAATGGGCAGCCAGACCCCACGCCAGCTCGCCCAGCCCTGCTTCCTCCTCCGCCTCCTCAGTAGCTCGGCGCTGACGCCCCCTCCACACCCCAAGTGATCGCTCCATCTGTTCTCTCCTGACCCTGAGAACACCAGGGCAGGCTCTGAACCCTACAGAAAGCACGGCGCTAAGACACCACGACCCTGTAAATGCCCAGACCAAGGAGAGAGCATGGTGTAAGGGAAACTGCAGGCCCACTGTACCCCCAAAACACACCTCAAAATGTCACCTGAGTAGGAAAGGGTCTCTGCAGATGTCACTAAGGTAAGGCTCTCAAATGAGGTCATACTGGGCTGAGAGTCCCAAAGCCAATGACCTGTGTCTGCCTAAGTCACAGGAGGTCAAGGGCATGGCCCAAGTGGTAGAATGCCAGCCTGGAGTGAAAAAGGTAAGGGGCAATGCCCAGGCACTGAGTTCAAGCCCCAGCACTGGCCCCCCCCAAAAAAGAAAAGAGACTAGAAATTTACTGCCCACCCTGGATACACACAGCCTGGTCCCTCACTAGACAGATGCCAAGGAGGCTGGCAGAGCCACCTGGGCAAACCTAGGACCCCACGGGAGTCTCATGCATGGCTCTCCCTGCACACTGCAGGGAGCAAGGGGGAGGCGTCTCCCCTAACTCATGTCTTCACCCAATAGGCCACAGCGATTACTCACGGAGCCCAGAGGGCGCACCTGACAAGCATGGGGCAGCACTGACTTTGAGCCAGCCGCCCACAGTGCCACCACCTCCCAGCTTCCTTCACGACGCCCCATGGTCCCAGCCACTGTCCATCAGCCACCACCAAAAAACACGGGAAGCCAGGGCCAGAGTGGACAGTCCACCACAGCATGGCCCCAGTCCAATCCCACCCACCCACTACTACACTCTCCACCTTCATGGGCACTTGGTAGCAACCCCCACACACACACCAGAGGAGGGAGCAGCCAGCTCCTCCCCCGGGGCAGCTGGAGCTCCTGGACGGCGCCAGGCCCTGCCTCACCCTGCCCCTCCTCCAGCAGCCACCGCAAAGCTCCAGGGACTGAGACTCTGGGACCAGCACTGTACATCCCGAGACGAAAGCCTGGTCCACAGAGCACTCTACAGAGTCAGTTCCACGGAGGTCTCATCCAAGTCGGTGTCAGAAGCTGTTTGCTTGTTTAACTTGCCGTTTTAACCTTCCGAAATTCATCTTTTCTACTCCACACGCCACTGCGTGCCTGGATCGGCATAGGCACAGATACTCCTCTCCCGTGAGGCTCTTCTGTGGCTGCTCATTTTACATTTAGTTCTTCCACAGCAAATTTTGCAGAGCTTAACCTTGTGAAGAGGCAGGACTTTTTCCCATCTGCGTTGATCAAGAATCACAAAGAAAACCAGCCCCCAGGGGCACACACCCGTAATCCTAGTTACTCAAGAGGCTGAGATCTGAGGATCAAGGCTCAAAGCCAACCTGGGCAGACAAGTCCATGACTCTGATCTTCCATTAATCACCAAAATGCCCAAAGTGGAGCTATGGCTCAACTGGTAGAGAGACAGCTTGAGTGAAAAAGCTCAGGAACAGTATGCCCAGGCCTGTTTAGAACCAGCACAAACAAAAGAATCACAAATGTGCATGTTTATTACTGGACCATTTCTTTCTAGCCATGAAGAGGCACACTACCTCTGTCTGCAGCAAGGCCCTTCATGTAGAGAGGAGGAGGAAGCCGGGGAGCCAGGCTGAATGTAGGGTTGACTCTGACTTTCTCTGACTCTGGGTATCCAGTACAGCCACTGTGCCAAGACCTGGCAGGAACCTGAGGAGAGGGAAGAAAGGTCCCTCTCTACAAGGAGCTTCCTCAGGACAACAGTCAACAAGTCACCATTAAGAGCCAGGCGCCAGTGGCTCATGCCCGTAATCCAGCTGTTCCTGAAACCAGAGGAAGACATTTTGACACTAATGCAGGTAGAAATGTTTTCAAGACCTCCTTCTCAACCCATGGCTGGGCACCGTGGCTCACATTTGCCATTCTGAGGGCTAGCCTCTGAAAGAAAAACCCTAAAACTGTATCTGCCTGTAATCCCCAAGAGGATGGGAAGCAGAAAAGGCAGATAGTGGGGCTCAGGCACGCTCCCAGGCAGGACCTGAGACATTCTCAAAACGAACCAGTGGAAGAATGCTTGTGTGGCTTCAATGGCAGACCACCAGCCTAGTACATTTCAAGGCCCAGTGTTGCCAAAATAATCATAATCAAGGACGTGATCTCCAGCGGATCATCAACTTATAGGAACCAAGGAAAGAAGGAAAGGAGGGGAGGGAGGGGGGAGGAGGGGAGGACCCATGAACAGGAAGGTAGGCAGGGTTGTAGAGATAGATGAAGCCAGAGCAGTCCTGTTTTGAGCCTAAGAGCATATATACGTGTGTGTGTGTGTGTGTGTGTGTGTATGTGTGTATATATATATATATATATACACACATACACACACACACACACATACATACGTATGCATGTATATACACACACACATATCTCAGCCACCAATGCCCCCGACTCCAGGGACCTTAGAGATAAGGCCCCTTCCTGTGGGGTCAGCAATGAACCTACACCATGGGCCATCTAGGGCGGCCACTCTCTGCCTTCTGATACTGGCCGGCTGCACCGGGGTCCGGGAAGAGCAGCCTGGAACAGGCTGGGGCCAGGAGAAGCTCGTCCTCTACTCCCCACAGCATCTGCGCCCAGTCCAGCACAGCAGGACAGTCCCCCGGGATGAGACCCACACAGCTGGCTCGTGGGCTCAACCCCCAGTGTGGTCATCCTGGGCCGCAGCCATTACTGCTGGGTGAGAAATCAAGCAAGTTTCTAGCAAGGTAAGTCTCCCCAGAACCAGTGCGAGGTTGTTTCCTAATCAAAGCTTTACCAGATGGAAAGCAATAAAAGAAGTCCCCAAAACCAATCTGAGGCCTTCTTAAGAAAACTTCTCCAGGGGCTGGGAAGGTGGCTCAGTGGTAGAGCGCTTGCCTTGCATGCATGAGGCCCACATAAGCAGAAGGGAAAAAAAAGTCGGAAGTGGTGCTATGGCTCAAGTGGTAGCCCGCTAGTCTTGAGCTGAAAAGCTGAGGGACAGCGCCCAGGCCCAGAGTTCAAGCCCCATGACCGGACCCAAAAAAGAAAGAAAGAAAGAAAACCTCTCCATTCCCGAGCAGCACCCACTTGAAAACGGCAGACACACTTTTACAGGTTTCCCGGGATTTCCCCTGGCTGAGCTTCTACAAAGCACTTGTGTCACCTGAGATGCAACGGGTGCTGGGGGGAATTCAGGCCCCTACTGCCTTCTGGAAGTGACTGTCACACCTGCTTGGGCCTAAACGAAGGTCTCCACCGGAAGACAAAGCTGCTAGCCTATGGAGACTGGGGGATGAACAAGGGAGAGGAAAGGGGGGAGGGGGAGACAAGACAAACATGGAGCCAAGTCCTGAGGGCAGTGATGATCCAGGGGGCGGAGTCATCACCCTGGGGGAGGAGTCATGGCCCTGGGGGTGGAGTCATGACCCTGGAGTGGTGTCTGCAAGAGACAGCTGTGTGGTCAGAGCTCCAGGACCATCCACCATCGCCTGTAAGTCCAACCATGGTCAACAGCAGAGATGGAAAAGCAGCCCAAAGCTTGCAGCCAGGAGGGGACACCCCAGGGTGGGGCTGACACAGCCTGTGGATAGGCCTTGCCTCCCCCGCCCCTTCCAACCTGCAGTGGACCTGACCCTGAGGCCCAAGCAGGGCACAGCACCCACTGCACTGCGCAGGCCAACATCTAGGTCCTCTGTCACCCATGTCTAGGGAGTCCCATGCCTGACGCAGCCCCTGACAGAGGCCCACCAGTACCTAACAGCAGTGGGCATCACTGCCCCAGCCCACCATACAGTGAGCCCCAACAGCCCCCAAAACGCCTGTCACACGTAGCAGCAGTTCCAAGACAAGAAGCAGAAACCAAGCCTCCCGCACGGAGCGCTCACCAGGAAGCAGGGGGCAGCAGTCCTCACCGAGCCCACAACAGACCTGCCAGCTGGATGGGTCCACGCCGAAGGCGGGGCCAGGCCCCTGACCACAAAGGCAGGTCAGCTGCCTCTTTCCCTAAAGGAGGCAGTACACCCAACCCCTGTGAGTTGAAAGATCCCTGCGACACAGACAAGATGGATTAGATCAGGGGCAGATCCTTCCCTGGGCCTGGGCCTCGGCCCAGCCCATGCGCCTCACACCTCA